AAACATAAATGTCCAGAAATGAAGTTATTTGTAATAATGTGGAATGGCACAGGGAAAAAGTATTGAACACACTTACTGTCCACACTTATTATCTTTTAAATTGATTTCTGGAGATTATCCAAGGTGCTTCATGACCCATAATTGGGTCCCAAGTCCAACTTTGGGAACCAAAGTGCAGTGGTTCCCAAACTTTTCAGCTTTTGACCCACAAAATAACAGTAGCAGAGACCTGAGCCCACAACTGTTTCTGGATGATAAACATTTCAGGTCAATTAAACATGGGCATAGTAACAATATTTGTATACTACATTTATCCATTTTAAAAACACTAACCTCACTCCTTTGTAACAACTAAGGCAAAAATGTCATTAATTCAGAAAATCTTTTCAGGACACCACCTTGATGTTTCGGGACCCCACTTTGGGTCCCGACCCCAACTTTGGGAAACACTGTCTTATGGCATAGTTAGTAGCAACCACTTGTTGATAAATGTGTATATATTGAATGACCAGTTCCTATAAAGCTCCCCGTGGCAGGGAAGATACTCTGATCATAAATGTGGTTTAATCATTGCACACAGGCTGTAGTGAGGGTTGCAAATTCCCCACATATGGGAATATCATGTTCATATTATCTTGTTGGGGGGGACTGCGTGAAAAAATTGTTTTTGAGTGTCTAGAAAAGTGCCAAAAAAGACTAAAGCATTATTATTTTTATAAAAATATCCCTGCAATGTTTTAATATAAAAATGTTACGTATGATTAGCAGTAATTTAAACCTCCTGTTTCCTAACAGCTTTCTTTACTTGATGTGTATTTTGTTTAACTGTTGCAGGAGCTCCAATGATCCCGGTTCACATGGGCATCATGGCCCCCGCCCCTGCAGTCATGGTCCAGTCTCTTCCAGTCGTCAGTAAGCCTCCCGTTCCAAAGAAGGACATTTCAGCTTTGCGAGCCAAAGATGACGAGGGCAGTGGGCCCACCACCACTGTGTTTGTTGGGAACATATCAGAAAAAGCTTCAGACATGCTGATCAGACAGCTGCTGGCGGTAAGATAGCTTATGAAGATCATTCTTTTTGGATTAAATATCGCACCAAATGTATCTGAGTTAATATTAACAATATTAAAACAGACAAGCACTTTATGTACTTATGTTTTTTTTAGTATTAATTATAAAATATTGCATGAGTAATCAGCAACCTCATTAAATATGTTTGCTATGTTTTGTCTTACTAAGGCTGTTTAGTTAAACCAGTTTGTGCTCTTTTTACAGAAATGTGGTATTGTTTTGAGCTGGAAGAGAGTTCAAGGAGCCTCTGGCAAGCTTCAAGGTAATTCCTAGCATCACTGGGTCTGGGAAACCTTTAATAATAGTAATTCTCAGTGATAAGCTTTTGAATTATACACTGCTCAAAAAAATAAAGGGAACACTTAAACAACGCACACTAAGTCCAAGTAAATCAAACTTTTGTGAAGCACATTCAACTCTGTACAGAACAGAGTACTCAATGTGAATATTTCATTGATTAAGATCGGGAGTTAGCGTGCGTTGTTTAAGTGTTCCCTTTATTTTTTTGAGCAGTAGTGTTCCCTTTATTTTTTTGAGCAGTGTATATTACTAATACAGTTAAACTTTAAATTAGCTCAGATTGTAAAAGGCAAATCTACAAAAAATGTAATGAATGAAAGAAGGAATTCCTCTTTAACTGTTGCTGGATGTCTGAATAAAAGGCATTCTGGGTAACTTTGTCACAAAATCACCGAACTTAAAAAAAATTAATCGGTGCGATTTCTAAAAAAAAAAGTTACATTTTAAAATCCACAGTAAAAACAGTCTCAGTCTATTTCTTCTTTTTTTATCCTGTTAAATCTTTTAAAGTTTAAAGTTACCCACCTCTCTGTTGCAGCTTTTGGTTTTTGTGAATACAAAGAGCCAGAGTCCACCCTGCGAGCTCTGCGATTGCTTCACGACTTGCAGATTGGGGACAAAAACCTGCTAGTGAAGGTGGATGCAAAGACTAAATCTCAGCTGGACGAGTGGAAGGCCAAGAAGAGGACTGCTAATGGGGTAGGAAGTTTTTAAAGGGAATAATTATTGCTGATAATAAGTTTGATTAGTTTTATGTGTAAGTCTCCAAACTGCTGTGCATTTTCTTCAGATTTGCTAAGCTATAAATACATTTAGTGCAACTTCTTAATTCTAAAATGTACTGATAACTAAACTAGAATGTTTGTTTTTCTGTATCTACAGACTAAGAAGGCAGAGGATGGAGGAGATGAAGAGGAGGTTCTTGACGAGGAAACGAAGAGAAGAGATCAGCTGGTCAGAGAGGCCATTGATGGATTGATGCGGGAATATGCTGCAGAACTTAACGCCCCTTCTCAGGACGAGGAGTCTCAGCGACGGAAAAGAAAAAAGGAAAAGAAAGAAGAGGTACGACCATATCTGGTTATCTTTTATGTCAAAACAATGCAAGTTTAAAGAGCCAATATTATGTGTTTCTCAGGCATTTATTTAAATACTATACCATAATAAAGTATCTATGTCACCTTTAGCAGTTATTAAAATGCTGTTTTTCTGTTTAAATAGAAAATAAACTTATCTTCTCATCACTTCCTCTTCTAAATGCCTTGAAATTGGCCTCTGTCTCTTTAAGAACCTCCTTCTGCTTCTGTCCCGTCCCGTTTGGGGGCTGGGGAGGGTGGGGTTTCTGCACGCGGGGGGCTGTGCATGTGCGCCATGATGCAGTTTACTTGGCATCTGAAAATACATTTCCTCAAAGGTATTTTTAATCTGAAAAGAGCTTCACTGAGTGAGAACTAATGTGGAGAGCTCAGCAGACAGTTAGGTTTCACTTTCACCCGAGAGCCTGCGGGGTGTGGGGGGGAGCGGGGGTGCGCTCTGCCATGAGGAAGTTCGGCTTAAAGACACGCCCCGGGGGCGTTTCTGGTTCCCGCCTGTCGTTTTGCTCCTCAGCATGGCTTCCTAAAAACACTGCAGGATTTCTCAAACGTGATAAATGAGTCAGAGCAAGGCTTTGGGCATGTTTTTTTTATGAGAGTATAACTATAGCATGATATAAAAGTCAAAGTTTATTTTACATGATATTGCCCCTTTAAATGTTTTTTTATTTTATTTTAATTCAATATGTTTTTCTCTACAGGATGATATTAACACCATTGACATTGAAGAGGACAAGAGAGACCTGATTTCCAGAGAGATTAGTAAATTTCGGGACACTCACAAGGTAAAGTGGCTTTTTTTAATCTTGTAATTGACATTCCAGGTTTTGGACTGCAGTTTCTCACGTAGTTCACATTTAGTTTGCAACACTTGATCTCAGTAACATGAACACTGAGTGCTGATTGGCCGGCTCTAAAATGTGTAACACTATTCTTATTGCTTACGCCCGTTACTATTTAAAATAATGCCCATTCAACCCTCACAACACAACTCTTAATATTGTCACCGCAGGCCTAATTTGAAATTTGTGACCTCCGTAGTGAAGCTATTAGTTGTGACCATTAGAGATGAATTTTCTTCATTCATTACACAAAAATGCATGGAGACGATGTAAAGTTACCCTAAAGCTAATCTATTCATTAAACCCCACCATTATGATAGTGATCATATGGTGACTAAAGCAAGATGAATCTCAGAGCTTTGGAAAAAGTTGCCAGGATAAGGATGTAAGTATCATCCTTCTTTTATTATATACATATACTGGGCGCCCCCCTCTTGAGGACTTGCATTGGGGCAACTGTGCAGCTCTTCACTTGTCGGGGTTAAATTCAATCATTAGACGTCATTAATACTCTCCTTAATACTTTGGCAGTTCCCTGAAGTGTGGAGAGTCAGTGAACCTGTGCGAGTTCTCCGTAACTTCTGCTGTTTTAATGATGTTCATGTTGAAGCACAAGGACTGAGTAACTGCTGCAGTGAATTTTACTGTAACCTTTGTTATGATAGTAGGGCGGGGGCGCCCTCTCCACAGCAGTATGATGATCTGAAGCCTGACAAGGTAAGTAGTCTGTGTGTTGTGTGATCTCTCGTTCATTTTTTCTTCTTAATCACTATCATACTTTTCCTCTCTTCTTTCTTTGATTTATTTTGTGCTCCAGATAGATTACTGGCTTTATTCAACTTGTAAAGGGTATAAAATAAAACTTATGAAAGAAAAATAGGAATTAGGAAATGGATTTAGTCAACAGAGGTTATTACTCTAGCTTTTATGAGTTTAAATAAATGGTTAATAATTAAAAGAAAATGCTAGATGACATGAGAATATTTGGCAGACTTAAATTCTAAAAGAAATGATTTTACTTGTTAGTTTCATGCATGATGTGAGGTTTACCAGGGTCTAGTAGTCTTTATGGAGGTAAGTAAAAGCACACACTACAGACAGTGTGGGGACTCGCTGAATCGACAAAACATGCCAGGAGGTTTATGCAAAAATCAACTCAATTAGCTTTTTTTTTTACCCCAGTTTTTGACTTAATCGTCAGTTGACAGTGGAGGAATCAATAAATCATTTTAAAGCTCATTTTAAATGTAAATGCGGTACTTAAGGTGCTGTCACACTAGAATGTTTCACACAACTTGTGTAAAGTTTGAAAAGTTGTCCAACATTAAATATGTTGAAGCTGAAGATGGAATAAAAGAAATCTACTGGAAACAATTGGAATATACACAATAAGTAAAATAGTCATAACACAATTTTCACAAGTCAGCCTAAGTTGTCTAAAATGCTATTTTATGACACAACCTTTGGAATTTTTTTGAAAACATTTCTGCAAAACGGCTGCAAAAGCCTCAGTCCGTTCACAAATCACCCCGAGGCGTCCAGAAGGCGTCTGATTCTCCTTCAGGTGTTTTAGTGAAAGTTTCCGGAGATTAGCTTTATTTACGCACAACCCTTTGTGTGTTTAGTGTGTCTGGACTGGAAAAGAAAATGACCTCACTTTTAACTTCAGAAAGGATTTCACAAATAAGAGCTTCCATGATTCATCTGTTAGGTGCTGTTTATGTTAAAATCTCAAAGTTGGATGAAACAAACTAGTTCAGGTCCTAAAATAAGTGGTTAAACTTGACTAGTCTCAAAGGCCATTTCTCATTTCTTTGTTGTGTTTTTAAGTTTTCTTCTCTTCAGTTGTGTTACACCCAAGGCTTTCCTTCAGTCCATATTTGTTGCTGCTTCAGATTCTTAGATGTAGCACCGCAGATGAAAGTATAAGGTTTAATTTAGCCAAACGTCAGCACACTTCATACCTGCCAAGCCTTGTGTGTAATGCATGTAAAATAGTCATGGTGTGTGTGAACAAATGGTCACGGAGAGCAGCTGAAGTCTTCTGCACGGGTAAGACTGCTTCTACAATTTTATTCATCTGTGCAGAAATGTAACTAATTTTCATGATGTTTATTTCTTGATTTAATAACCACACCAAATGCCATGTTACACTTTGAAGTGAAAGATGTTGTTGATGATTTTTGATGATGCTTTTAAGCAAGATATCAAAAAATAAAATAAAATCCCATAACGTTTTTTTTTCCTTGTATACCGTGTGACCTGCTTTCCTCCCAGGCCTAACTTAAAAGGCTTGTAGGGGCAGCGAAGGGCTGAGTCCATAGTTCAACACCTGTAAGTCACAAACAACTAGTTCAACAAAAAAACTGATGCCTGTTTTTGTTTTTCTTGTTCTGAAAGAAGGAACCGTAAGGAGAGAAAATATTGTCTTGCTGGCGTTTTTTAAAAACGCCAAAAAAAAGAAAAGAATCATGTTGCACAGATCTTTCCTTCCATTTGAGTGGTTTCCAGTTGCATTCTTGCTAAATGTAGTTTTCTTCAGCAACAAACTGCACCATGTTAGACTGTAGGACATGTTCTTCTGTGAAACCCCTCAAAACCTGGAAAATACTCGATCTGTGCTTAAATCTAAGCTTGCTGCAAACCGCCGACCGGACGTCGCGCCACCTCAGCTGAACCCGCCTGTGCTTTGCTCTGCAGAAACTGGAGGAGGAGAAGGACAAGCGGGAGAAGGAGCGGCAGGAGTTTGAGCGAGAGAGGAGGGAGCGCGAAAAGGAGCGAGAGCGGGAGCGGGAGCGGCGGGACCGCGAGCGGGAGAAGGAGCGAGAGCGGGAGAGGGAGCGAGAGAGGGAACGGGAGCGGGAGAGGGAGAGAGACAAGGACCGGGACCGCAAGACCAGAGAGAGGGAGAGAGAGCGAGAGAGAGACTGGGACAGAGACAGGAGCGCCGACCGCAGCCGGTCAAGGTGAAGTTACCTTTTCTTTTTATCAAATCAAAATCTAAACATTCAACAGTAAAGTTTAATTTGTCATTATTATTTCTGCTGCACTTAAAGCTCCTGTGGCACCAATTTTTGTAATACATGAGTGCATTTTTAGAAAGAGGACATTGATAAAATATTGGAAACGAAATTTCATGTCACTGAGATGAACCGTTGTTGAGATATTTGCCTGTGAAGAAACAGGAAGTGATGTCAGAGGGGAACGTCTGCATGTGAACAGAGTGTTGCTACAACAGTCAACAACACAAACTGTAGAGAAGAATCTGATGTTTCTTTAGATTATTTTGAGTATCAGAGAGCTGAAGAGTTGGAGTTCAAATTATATTGTTTTAATAAACAAAGAGCAGAGTTTTCTTTGTTAGAGTTCCACTCTGATGTCACTTCCTGTTTCACTTTGGCTGAGCCAAGTTCAAAAGAAAATATGTCAGTTATGTAACAAAATGGGTTGAATTGTGTGCATTATTCCAACTTTCTTAAATATAAAGATTTCTTTGATTTTTTTGTATTTGAAGAATATGCATGTCACAGGCCCTTTAAAACATTTATTTTCAGTAATTTAAAGAAACGTGTTTAAAACTACTTTATTGTAGTTTTTACAAATATACATGCATTTACTCCAGAACTGTTTGAGCAACAGAATGCATCATGTGTTTAATAAAGCCTCTCTGTGAGACTTCTCTGTCTGTTTATATTTTCTGTTCATAATAGTTTTTGTTTCTGTGCAGAGAGTTGAGTCGTGACAGAGAGCGAGAAAAGAAACGGGACCAGGAAGATGAGGAGGAGGCTTACGAACGCAGGAAACTGGAGAGGAAACTCCGGGATAAAGAAGCAGCGTACCAAGAGGTAGGAAAAGCAGAAATAATAAAAGGTGCAGATAAGAGAGGCCAGTCGTGCTCTCCAACACAAATCAGTGCTTCAAGTGAAGTTTGTGGCTCTGAAGAAATAAAATCTAATTTTTTGTCTTGAAGTATTTGAAAATATGTTTGTATTTTTTTTTTTTTTTACATTTTATTGTTTTTGTTAAAGCGTTTGAAAAACTGGGAGCTGAGGGAGAGGAAGAAGGCCAGAGATTATGCCAAAGAGACTGAAAGAGAAGATGAGCGCAGACGAGAAATGGTGAGAAAACAAGCAGAAAGTCACCAAAATCCAGAATTTGTATTTAAATGTATTAAGTTTGCACTTTTCACTTATTACATTTTTGTTATCTAGGCAGTATTTTATTTATTTTTGTTATTAAGTCAGAAAATAAAATGTATCCTGTAGAGAAATTCAGCGTAAATGAATGTGAATGCTTTTTAGGTAAAAGAAGGCAAACGGTTAAAGGAGTTTCTTGAAGATTACGATGATGACAGAGATGACCCCAAGTATTACAGGTGAACAATAATTATAAGGAAAGCTGCACTTTTATCTTTACAGGAAATAAATGTCTGTATGTTTCTGTAAAATTATTTGTTTCTGATACTTGAGTGTTAAATGGATGACTGATGAAATCTGTTCAAATAGTGACAGAAATGTTGAAAACGCAGGCTTTGTTACGGTTAAATGTTGAATTCATGCAGCGCTGCAGCTCTGTTGTCGCTCTGAGGCTGATGTTTTCTTTGCGACCACTAGGGGCAGTGCGCTGCAGAAACGTCTCAGAGACCGAGAGAAGGAGATGGAGGCAGACGAGCGTGACAGGAAGAGAGAGAAGGAGGAGCTGGAGGAGATCAGACGGAGGCTGTTAGACGAGGGACACCCAGACCCGGACGCAGAGCTGCGCAGGGTAACGCTCGTCTGTCAGAACGTTGTGTGTCTGCCTGTGTCTGCATGTGTGAGTGTGCGTGCTGCCTGGGGTTTCTGTGAAGGTCATTTTACCATCTGAGCCTCTCTGCATCTCTGCACAACAGAAAATCAGTCAGCTTTCATTGTCTCGTGACCCTTTTTTAAAATATTTGGTTATATGCAGCAGTTGTTTGTTATTGGTGCAGATGGAGGAGGAAGAGGAGGAGCGTCTGAGACAGCCCCCCGTCATCCAAGAACCCGAACCCGAGGAGCAGCGCGACATCCACCGGAGTTCACGAGACCACCGGGAACGGAAACCGGAACAGGAAACGGTAGAACCCCGGTCGCAGCCCAGCCACTCGGATGAGGAGGTGGAGGAGGGCGAGGAGGAGGAGGAGGATTACGACAACGAAGAAGAAAACTCCAACGTGAAACCGCAGTTGAAGCCCACGATGCGGCCCATCACAGCCGCGCCCTCCGTGTCCTCGGCGAGCGGCGGCGCGTCTCCCAACACTCCCGGAGACGAGTCACCCTGCGGCATCATCATCCCCCATGAGAACTCACCTCCAGACGCTCTGCCGCAGGAGGAGCACCGGCCGAAGATCGGCCTCAGCCTCAAGCTGGGTGAGTTTAGATTCAGTTCAAAAATAAGGCCTTAATTAGCCTTAAAATATAGTCTTAATGATGACTTTAATAAGTGATGACTGAAATACTCACATTCAGGCATTCCCCTTTGACATCGCTTCCTGTTACTTCACCTGCAAATATCTCAACAACTGTCCATCTGAGCAATGTGACATTCCTTTTCTAATATTTTTATGTTGTCTTTCCAAAAATGCATTCATATTTCTTAGAAAACCTTTGATGTCACAGGCACTTTAAAGTTTTATCCACAGCAAGCTGGGGTTGAGAACCCACTCTGGGTCCTAAAACAACTAATTTTGGGTCATTAGAGGATTTCCAGGAATTAAATTAGGTTTAAAACTGATTGAAAGGATGTTTCTGCTGTATTTGATAAAAAAAAACCCAGTCAGATATGGATAAAAACAATTGATCTGTTAGCAGTATTTCAGTAATTCAACCAAAAATACTTTGATTCATGACTTTCTGCTGTTATTTTGTCATTTGTGTTTGTGAAATTGGTCTTAAATTTAATTTCACTTGGCATTAAAAAGTCTTAAATTTAACTTGGAGCCCTGGAGTAAATCAGTTTGAAGAGTGGAAAATCCAAAAAAAAAAATTAGTAAACTTTAACAGTAATTTTAACTAGAATCTTAGTGGTTTCTTCATATGAAGCAGTAATCGTGTTTCCCTCCAGTTGTAGAGTGAATTTTTATCGAACTTTTAAAAAAAACCAAAAAATTAAATAAAAATTTGAATATAGACTGTTTCCATCTAGTTTCCCTCGAATGTTTGATGCGAATAAACGAGGCTACTCCACCCGTGATTACGTCAGACGTCGGCGACAAGCTTTGCGGTAGTAAACAGGAAGTGAAACTTGCTAACTAGCAGAGGCTAATCATATCGGGAAAATGGAGTGATTTTTTTTCGTGAATGCCTTGCTATTGGGCAAGTTGTAATTATTCTATCTATTCAGCTAGTACAGGCTATGTTTAACGCTGCCAGGAGACGTAGGGAAATAAACGCAAAGTTAAACTATGCAGCAGAAAGACACGTGCAACTACGCAGGAACGAGGCAGGAAAGCGGAAACAGCTGAACGTCATGTGAGGTAAATATGCGCTACGTCAGAATTTATTCGGCAAACGTGTTTCCATCTCCTGTTTTGTGCATTAACTACTTTGTGAATCATCCAAAAACCACCTCAAGCGAGCGTAAAAACTATTTAGCGAATTGAGGATTTTTATTTTTATTTTGCTGTTTCCATCCGACTTTTTTTCGCATTTTTAATGCGACGCTTCTAAATGCGCATCAAAAAGCCTTGATGGAAACACGGTTAGTGACATCCTCCGAGCCTTTAAACAAATCAAACTGCAGCTGTTTCCTCCCATGATGCAGACGTACGATCAGTCGTAGCTCTGTTGAAGTAAACGCTGCGTGTCGTCCTCAGGCGCTACAGGAAGCCCCGGCCAACCCCACGCAGGCAAGAGGAAGAAGCTGCCGGTGGACAGCGTCTTCAACAAGTTCGACGACGAAGAGGCTGACGAACAGCCGCGCAAGCGGAAGCTGGTGCCCCTGGATTACGACGACGAAAAGAGCCTGGGCGTGGACGGCGCCGGGCTCTCCAGCATAAAGGGGGGCAACTCTGAGGAGAAACACAAACACATCAAGAGCCTGATCGAGAAGATCCCCACAGCAAAGCCTGAGCTGTTCAACTATCCACTGGACTGGTCCATGGTGGACACGGTGAGGAGCATCACTCTCTTAGTGGAGATTAACTCAAAGCTTTAGCTCAAATAATAAATAAAAATAATGCTGACTTTGCAGTTTTATGGAGCTGTGTTCAGATTTAAACGATTCGATGTCATTATTTTTCTCTCTGATCTTATTTAAATCTGAATCAGACGTTGATGGAGCGGCGAGTTCGGCCCTGGATCAATAAAAAAATCATAGAGTACATCGGTGAGGAGGAAGCTACGTTAGTGGACTTTGTGTGCTCAAAGGTACGAATCATGCCACATCATAAACATCTTTTTGGATTTGAAGGGAAAAGAAATGACTTTTGTCTGTTCTCAGGTGATGGCTCACAGTATGCCGCAGAGCATCTTGGATGATGTTGCTATGGTGAGACCATACTGTTGTACAAGATTAAAACGGGTCTTCTTTGTTTCAAGCATGTTGACTTCGATTCTGCTTTTCTCTCATTCAGGTTCTTGATGAAGAAGCGGAGGTCTTCATAGTGAAGATGTGGCGGTTGCTTATTTATGAAACCGAAGCAAAGAAAATCGGACTGGTAAAATAAAGTGTAACCACTGGAAGAAGAGGACCCACACCCCGCATTGTGTACAGTAGTGTAGTGTCATCCCAAACAGTCTCTGCCGGTTCTGCTCATTCTCAATGTTTTTTTATTTTTTCTTCAACACTCAGGCTGGATGCACCTTGCAGGTGCTGTTAATGTTCCTCCTGTGTTCAAAGTGGCTGATCAGTTTTGAAAGCTGTCACACGTTCGCTGCAGTAACACAACTGAAGACAGGAACTTGTTTGAGGACTTTGACTTCAACTTACATGAATGTGGACTTTTTTTAATGGAGGTTTTTATGGGTTGAAGCAACTTGAGCCCATCTCTTCATCACATTCCTGACAGATAAGTTGGGATGTTCACGAAAACAGCTACAGTAACTTATCCTGGTCACTATAGAAAGCTCAGAACAGGGACAGTTATGTGAACTTGTGAAGACCTCCATTGTATTTTTTGTATTGAACATTTGATTAAACCTTCGTTTCTGTTTTTTAAATGTATTTTTTATGCTTGTCTTAGTGCGTCTCAGAGGTGGTTTAAACAGAAACAGAACGACACGTAGAGATAAAAATTTCTAGACTTTTATTGATTTTACTTGATCTGAACAAGAAGCAGGTCTTGCTGGTAAACACTCTTAAATTAGATAATTACCAGATGAAGTCACCACTGAGTGCTGTAGCCTTCAGTCACATCCAGAGATGAAGAGCTGAAGACACTGGGCTTTGAAACAAGAGGTAAGTGAAGGCCACTGGAAACAGCATCTATTTATTCAAATGAGCATACTTAGAGACTATACTGCTGTTTGACGCGTAACCTTCTGTGTCCATGTTGGTGTCATCTTCAAACAGATTTTTCCAATTAAATGCCATTTAATGTTTGCGATGTTAAAGCTGAGCCCAGGTCTGTCCAAAAAAAAAAAAAAGCTGCTTTGAGAATTTCTCTTTCATGGAGGACCGACTCTAGTCTTCTGTTTTGGCCTCCATCTCTTCTGCGTCGTCGTCTCCGTCCACCTCAGCGTTCTCTCTTTCTAACCTCTCCAGCTGCCGGGCCAACTCCGTCTCATCCGTGTCCGTCACCACCTTGGGCTGCGGGGTCCCAGGAGAGTTGATTTAAAAACATACGTAGAATCTTATTTAATTCTGTGGCTTTATAAATTAATGTGACCCATCAACAGGCAGCTAATACATTTGTAACAATTGATTTTTGTCAATACATAAAAACCTTATCTACAGTCATTTAAAGAAATTTATAAACTAACAGTAGCTACCAAAAAAAAAAGGATTTTGAACAGAAATGCCTTAAATTTTTTGTGTTTTTCCCACAAAATAGCAAAGCCTTTCTTCTTTCCTCTTTAAAATAACCTAAAACAATAGGATAACGCTTTGATATTTGGTGTAAATCCTGATTAAGAAGACATATCCAGGTATCTAAAATGCAGCTAAAAAAATAATTAAGATGATTACGGTTAGTTAGCTCAGGGGTTCTCAAAGTTTTTGTGTCTGGGGACCCCATACAAGGGTGAAAAAATTCCAGGGACCCCCTCAACCCAATGCAAAAATAATTTACTGTTATTTTAACCCTTAAATGGCATGGTAATATTATTTTTGTCTGGTTTAGTCTGTTTATTTTATTAGTGCATTATTTAAAATAAAACCATGTTAATTAATTGAAATTTTTTGGGGACCCCTAAGACATGGCTCGCAGACCCCAGTTTGAGAACCTATGAGTTAGCTAACCCTAACAAGTCACTAAAACATCGGTTTACAAAAATTCAGAAATTGCACCCGTTCTCTCCCAGTGTGGTCATATATCTGATTCTGGCCATTTAGAATTAATAAAAAATAAAAAAAAAAACATTATCAAGCATTAACATCAAAATAAGATTTAAAAAAAAAAGTAAATAGAAAAATTTACTCCACACCTTAAATAAGGGGGCGTTAATAACTGTAACCTGTAAAGAAAGCAAACTGACCTCCATCTGAATGTTAAAGACGCCTCTTTTCTCTTCGATCTTCTCCTTGATGGCAGCCATGGCCTGGTTGAGCACAGACAGGCCCTCTGTTCGCTCCAGAGTGGTCGTCGTCATCACGTAGCGAGGAGGGGCGATCAGGTTGATCTACAAGATCATGATGTTAGTCTTAGTGCCACTTTATAATATTTCTCCTTCGTCAGTAAATTTATAAAAGCTGATCAGCACTCAGGTCAGAGGCTTTATTACCTTGATGGGCATGGACTCTGTGGAGCAGCCGAGACCGGCCCTCAGAGCTTCCTTTACTGCATCGATACCCTCATATCCATAGCACGCAACTTCAATGTCTGCAGGAAAATAAAATACATCAAGGTTGTGTCTTTACCTCAAGGTTCAGTTGAGAAAACCCATAAATCTCGAACCTGCTCTGATTTTGACGGCCTGCGGAGTGAGTCGCCTGTTGATGTTATCGATCAGCACATCCCTCTCCTCCTCTGTTAGGTCCAGGCCATCCAGGATGGTGGGATCTCTGCAACATCAAACACTCGCTCACGACTCCGCTACAGATCCAGGTCTTTGTTCAGTTCTCTGGGGGACTTACGACACGGCCTGTTTGAAGACGTCGTAAGCTCCGTATCCCGGCCTCTTGTACTTCTCGTCAAAGACCCAGGCGGTGCGCTGGTACAGGCTCTCCAGCTGCTCGTCCTTACTGTACTCCAGCACCTCTGCCACGTGTCGCAGGATGCTGTACACCTGAACACAGTGATCAACATGCAGCTTTGAATCACCTTTATTAGTAAAACATATGGTTGCGGTATGAAACAAACAGGACTTACAGTTTTAGATTTAGTGAATTTGTCTTCACACTTGATGGCCTCCTCTGGTGAAACTCTCCTTTTTGACAAATCAATGTACCCTGAAGACAACAAGTCAGGTCAGAGTTAAGAAAATTTATTTTTTTTCAAACAAAATTGATTAAATAAAAGCTGAACAGCACTTAAAAGTGAGAGAAATAGGTTTTATCTTTAGACAAAGACTGCTTTAATTTACTCCATTATATTTCAAGTTCTGGTGCTAATAATATAAACTTAGAAAAAATAAGGACATTTGTATTTGGTAAAGTATTTCTTTTTTGTAACAATGCTTCTTGGTAATACTGATGAAAAGCCTGTTAATTTTCCTTTTAAGTGGAGCCACATTTGTAAGGAACATGCATTTGTGTGTTGTGCAGATTCTGTTAATATTCACACTTGTTTTGAGCTCCTAGTACCTCCAGGTGCTTCAATCAGATGATTTATTGATCAACATTGTTACAAAGAAATAATTACACACACACACACACACACACACACACACACACACACACACACAC